CTCAACCCATTGTTTTATCATGTACCTGCAAAAGGCTGTTATTGGCAAAATAGAAACAAGTCAGAAGGTAGTTTTCTGTTTCCTTTCTATTTATTTTATAGTTTTTACCCAACTCAGTAAAAACTAACCACAAAACTATGGAATTAAAACCTGGGAAGTTAGGTTTTCTGCATAAAAATGAAACACGTGACAGAGGAATTTTTACATACAAGTACATTGTGCAAAAACGTACAGGGGTGACAGGATGCAAATTGTAGTAGTATCAGAAATAAAGAATTAAAGATCCCCCACCCCATGTGCAGTAAAGGCAAAAGTGAAGCTTACTCCTGAAGGAACTGGAGGTTCTCTGAGGTGCATTATTGGGAGAGAGAAATACATAGCAGGGGGGGTGTGTGTATATCTCTACACACACACGCTCTCTCCAGAGTGCAAATGTACATGTGGGAGATTATTTGAGTGGGATATGTTTCAGCCTTAGGAGTTTCATAGTGATTATGCTTGTAGAGACTTCCATCTCTACAAGCTTTTTATCTGAACAAACCTTACATTTGCAACTTATCTAGAAGAAGGTCTTTGAGACCTGGGAAAAGGAATGAATGAATGATGCTGCCAAGACCTGCATTGTGCCTGGTTTCCTTTGCAATTATGTAGTGCTTGGCAAAGGTGAGAATGAAAGTCCATGTTGTCGATCAGCATGGGATCACCTCTTGGGAAAGAGATGCTGTGCTCCTGTGGAGCAAAATGATGGTGCTTTCCCTGGCTGTCTCACAGCCAGCCCTGAGAGCCTACAATGAGAGGCTCTCTGAGCTGAGAAAACCACGTGAAAGGATCTTTCTGCCACGAAAACAAATAGCTTAATTCTGTCTAAACAAAAACTCAAAGGTTTTTTGAAGGCTTTTTTCGGTATTTTGGGATTCAATCAGAACAGTTTTAGGGGGAAAAGAATCAGTCTCCTGACATGAAGTAAAAATTGGAGATAACTTAAGGGAAGAAACTAAAGTGAGCTCAGCATTATCCCATAATGGACATTGTAAAAAGGGGCTCAGTCATTAAAATCTTAATTTTCCCTAAATTTCCCTTCCTTATAGAAGTAATAGCCACTTGGAAGGCCAGTTTCAACTGAGGATTCAGGAGGGGGCAGGTGGGCTTTACTGTGACATGTACCAACAACACATCATCCAACTGGAGAATGGGGTCTGTGTCTCAGGGCAGAAAACCCCCACTGAATTTTTGAGAGCGGTTGTAAGTGTAGTGAAGGGATGATCTCTTTCAGTCGATGACAGCAGGTCTGAAATTGCTGGCAGAAACCCTCAGCTGAACTGTAACACTTTCATTTTTAACTATTAGAAGACAATTCAGACATAAAGGAAGAGAGGGCGCTCTGGGTGATAATGACTTCCATGTATATTACTTGATCCACTTGAGTATGTCCAGTGAAGCCTTTCTTAATCATAAAGCACTCTTTCACCGGAAAAAGACACATCCATTTGGTTTCCATAAGCTGTCCAAACTTGGGATGCTGAGTGTTGAGATTCAGATGGTGATTGGGATTTATTAGTACATCATTAGTACAGTCCTGTCTTTCTTTTTAAGACCTGGTCAAAGAATGCAGTTTGGAGGGAGGACAGATATAGGTCATACAACGAAGTAAGGGGGAGTATTTCTGCTCTCAGGCTGTAGATAAGCTGGCACGTCCTGTTGATTTTTGAAGAGGAAAAAAGGACCCTGGGTAGCTCTTACAGTCTTGTGAGATTAAGATTTTTTTTAAAAAAAACAACCAACCAACCAAAAAAATTATTCCAGGTCTCCATTTGTGGTCTACCAGCCTGGAACAACTTGGGTCTTCTGTGAATGTAGTCAGAGAAGAGAAACTGCTGTTAGTTCAACCTGACTTTTCCAGTCCCGAAGTCTGATTGCTTCTTGACACAGGAGAGGAGCACTGTGTCATCTTTTTTGCTCATGATTAGCACATTCTCATGGCCAGAATGGTGTGTCCTTGGACAAAGACCTGGCACAGGTTCCTGAGATGTCAGCATGGCAGTAAGGAGGTGATTCTCGGGTCCATATGGCCCCAGGACCTCCCTAAACAAGCAGAAGAGTATCTGTTACTGCAGATCTAAATAGGAGTTGGGATAAGAAGAGCAAATATCAGCAAAATCCTTCTGCTGTGAGGCAGAGTTTTAAAACTGACCGTGAAATTACAGTGTACAGAGCCATAGGGTAACTTTGGGTAAGACACAGAATCTGAAGCCCAGCCAAACAGCTGAGTGTGGCTGGTGTGACAGGGCTTCACCACCAAGGGATTCTTCTTGGCAGAACAGAAGTAGTAACAGACTTGGGACGGTATCCATAGAGGGTTGTAAAAAACCTTTAGGAGAGGTGCTACTCTCGTTAGAAATGAGCTCTATTATTCTACCCAATGAAGGTGAAATTTGTCAAATAGCTGGTATTGGTAACAGAGTCTAGCTATTCAGGATTCTCAAAAATGCTGCCAAATAATTTTATTTTAAACTGTTTGCAACTAAAAACTCAGTCACAATCAAAACAAAAAGAAAAATAGTGAAGTTGTTACCTGTAGTGAGAAGTAGGCAGTGTGGCACAAACACATAAAAATAAAAATCCAAGTCATTCAGCAGTATGAAACACAAGACTAAATAGCAGTGGCATGAAAAACTCATTTGAGGTGGTGTCTGGGGTGGTGTCACAAAACAGCTTTTTACTGTACTCTGAGGAAAAGTTCAATGCCTCATGATCGCTGGCTGCACGTACTTTCCTAATCTCTCTTGGTCCCAGCTTCTGTGGGTGAGCACCCTTCATGAACCTACTACCACCTCCTCTAATGAACTGTATAGGTCTGGAAAGCTTGAGCACCTGGGCAAAGTTAGGTAAGTCTCCCGACCTCAGGAAGAAATGGAAATCTGGAAGTATGCTGCATCTTGTACTTGGGGACAAGCTACAACTTCTTTGTATCTAGCTATGAGTTTGCAGTAGAAATATTACCTGTTGGGATTTGAGAAAAAAGAATTGTCAAGGACAGGGCTGTAAAGTTATTCTTAGTGTTTCTTTTTCTCCCATGGCTTCAAAACTCCAGTAGTTAGGCGGACTGAAGGTCTTTGTGGATGTACCATGCTCCTTGCTGAGGGAAAGAAGGTCACCAGAGGTGAAAATGCTTAAAATAATTGTTGAATTTCCACTCACTTGAGTAACAGTTTATGCATAGCACTCTGGCCGAGTGTTACACATCTGCCATTGGAGCTAAAAAAATCATTTGTGTCATAAGAAGGATATACCATTTGAGAACTGTTCATAGTCTGTAGGGTGTTGTAAGGCAATGTCATCATTATTGATGTCTGTCCTAGTTTCCTTCAGTGCCATGCTCTGACCTGAGAATTGTATGGGTTCCAAATACACCCTTAGCTGAATGAAATGCTAGAGTTTAAGACTTGGTTCTCACTCATTAGTCAGCATACTCATGAATCCACAGACGTTAATATATATTGGGCCAAGCCCAAAGTAATACAGATGGCAGTTCATTTGATGATAGTATCTTCCATAATATTGCAATGATTATTTTAAAGTTTTTGTATATTTTGCAATATGAAAGTGCACGTACAGATAGTTGTTATGAGCGTAGAGCCTCACTACTGTTAAAGCACACGTGCAATTTGCCATATGCAGTAATTCTTCTGAAATTTCTCAACAACCTCAGACACAACCTTCCCCAAAACACATTTACAGATAATATCAAGGATTGTACAGAATGGCTTGATGCAATACCACTTTTCTGCAATAATCCATGAAAAATGACACAATAATGTGTATGATTGCTCCCATATCACATATCTGAAGTCTATGCCATCAAAATCCTAATTCAGACATTTGAACCAGTTTGGAATACCAAACACACAGAAAGTATCATCATCTTTACATAAAATAAAAGGTCTGACACAACAATCTTTGGTCACAAAAACCCCCCCAAAAATTCCCACCCAAAAACCAGACCACAAAAAAACCCCTCCACATCAATATATTTTACCTCCTAAAAAGTAAAAATAAATGAAATAGACCATCTGTGTCATTTTTTTCCTTTAAAATTTATAGCATATACATAGAATATGTGACTATGGTGTACTGCAGTAATTTTCATCATTTTTAGAGTAACCTGTATGTTCTTTACTGCTTGAAAGTAATTCCAATCTCATGCCAACAAATCACTCAGTAAATCCTTTGAGAAAAGATCTTGCTTTTACTTAGCGTGTAGTACGATAAAAACCAGGACCTTTGGGATGAGACTGTAGATGCTGTGGTAGTATAAATTAATAATAGGAACTGTGAATGAGTTTTATGTGACACTATGGGCTCTTTCAAGAGTTTATCTTAGATAAACTTTTAGTACTTCATGCTTATGTAAAGCTACCTGTTCAGAAACTTCCTCCTGGATACAGCTGCTCCATATTACATGTCTGATTTACACTAGTATATGTTAAGACAAATTGTCACTGTGCAACTGCTGGGAATTAGGTTAATTTAGATTATTTTGCTATAGGTTCTTGACTTTTGCAGACTTTCAACTGAGTTCTCAGCCGGGTTGCCTTCCAGAAAATTGCCCGGATGAGATTTTGGGGGCAGGTGTTAACTGTGGAAACCTACTTAGTATTAAACGTACCTGTCTCGTTGCTACCGACTTTGGAGACGATACTTTTTTTTTTTTTCCTGGTCATTGTTCTTCACAAAAGACCTAATTGAAAATATCTGTTAAATCATGTCTCTGGTTTCCCTCTTCTTTCCCCGCCATTAATTGGACACGTATTGTGTTTGTGTGGGAAGGAAGGAGGCTCTATAGCAGTATAGCAATATTGCTGGGAAAAGAACATTAAAATGGATAAAGGGATTTCCTAGCGGTATAAATACCTGCACACGACCTCCCTGTGCTCTGGAGCCCTCCTGTATATGTATATGCAGGTAAAAAGCCTGGAATAGAGTTTGAGCTGCCGTTAATCGCGCAGGATCTGTTCTGTTAGAAAACAGGGGCAACTGGCTCTTTTGCCTGTTGGAGGGTATGACTTGCCAAGCGTTTGCTTCATCTGACACCTTTGTACCCTTGAATTCTGACTCTTCTCCCTCTCTGCCTCTGATAATGCATCACAGCGCCGCAGAGTGCCTGCCGGTTTCTAACCATGCCACCAATGTTGTGTCTACAGGTACTTTTTAAAAATAATCTTGCTCTCAGCAACTCTCATTTGTAATGCTTTTGGATGGTATGTGTTCATCGAGTTCTGCAATATTTAAAGTGTTTGGTATCAATGCTATGTCAGATTGGGACTACATTAAAGTAGAAGCATTTTCACAAAACTCTGCATGATGAATGAATCAGGAACACCCCAAATCTTTGTGTTTCAGCTAAATTTGTAGCTTTCTCTTAGTTTGTTACAAGATTAGGCTCAAGTATGCTACCAATGCATTAACTTAGAGCAGGTCCAAACACTGTCACTTGTTGTGGCTATATAGTCTTCAATGACAAGTGTCACGTAAATTAATTGAAAGTTTGTTTATTATGTAACCACAATTTAAAATAATATAAATTACTTTAAATAGGAAATGTATTTAAAACAGGTCAGGTTTAAATATGGCTTGGGGAAACTTTCAAGAAGGAAGAACGTTGCTTTACAAAGCATATTGCATACTGAATCAAGACTAAGATTTAAATGGGATGTTGAAAATTGGTGGCAGAAGTCTCATCAATATTTTTGAATTTTGTGTATTTGTGTGTATAATCCAATTAATTGCATTTAAATACTAGGACTATGTAATCACTGAATTATCTGAAAGAGAAACAGAGAGAGAAAGAGAGTTTTCTTGCAGCCTTAAACCCGCAGAAGTGGGATTCTGGAATACAAGAATTGTTGATGGAAAGCTTTCAGGAACAGAAAAAGAAATAGTTTTGATTTATTTGAAATTGCATTAAGGTAAGAATTTTATCTGGAGTCTTAACAAGAAACTAGCCTTCTCCTGCAATGCATCGGTAATAAAACACTTTAATGATAAGAAAAAGCACATAAATAATGAAAACTGAGCATTGGTGATAGATAACGGGATCTCATACATTAAGCAGGAGGCTCAAAATATCCTAATACGGCTGGGGGGGGGGGGGGGGGGGAGGGAATAGGAGAATTTAAATTTTGTGTGGTAGTAGAATAGGAGAATTTAAATTTTGTATGAGGCCAAATTTATGTATCTGTATGATAGTTGTATTTTCTAGATTCATCTGATTCATAATAAAAAGTATATGGTGACAGCCAGCCAAAAGCTTTTGCTCGTCTGCTTCAGATTTGGGTTTTGATTTTTTTGGAATTACCACCCAAGAACAAATACTACTGTAGTCAGTGGAAATTTTGTTTGCAGGATGACATCTAGCAGATGACCCTGTGAGAACAGAAGCAGTGACAGAGGGTGTTAACTATAATGAGTAAAGGTTTACAAACTTCATACATAGATTCAGAAATTGTAATAAACAATGCCATTCAGGTGAAAGCATCTAAGGAGAATTTGTGCACAAAGTAGACATGAAAGAATTTTGAATAACACCTTATGTTAAATGTCAAAAATTTTTAAAATTCACGTGACAATTCTGCATCACAAGATAGAGGTGAATGTATTTCTGTTCAAATACTATACCATGTCATAAAGCTGATGTTCAGCAGTATCCTCAACATTTTAATTGTTATTATTTAATTTAAATAGCATCATCCTCACTATTTAATTTTAAATCCTTATTAGCAAGTTGAATATTCTTTTTTTAAGTAAACACTTAGATCTTATCTCAACAGAAAAGTTGCATTGCTCTAAATGCATTAGTATTATTAATGCAATCTTTATTTTGGGTGCATTTATACTAGTATAAGCATGCCCATTTTAGTGGATTTTATATCTGCGTAAGTGTATCTAAACAGGACATTTTACTGTTATGATTACTGTTGTAAAAAACAGATTCTAATCCCTAATTAATTATATTGTTTTGAACAACTGCAATGTGTGCTCTAAAGTGCAGTTTTACATATCTGAATGTTCACAAACATGAATTTTTAATATTATACTTTATAACAGTTACAGTGGACAGTATATGCATTTCTGTGCCTAATTATGCATAAGAAACAGCCATATCTCTCATTTTGCATTCAGTAAAAAATTGCCTGATTCTTCAGGCACTGGTGATTACTGAGCACAGATCTGAAACACCCCTGTGAAAACACTAGAGATAAATGTGTGTTTGTTGGTGCTGATGGTGGAAAATGTTGATTCAGGCCTAACTTTTTAGAAGAGCCTAGAGTCTATCGTCCTGTTTCCCTACCACCCTGCCAAAGCACTCTGGAATGTTTTTGGTGGCTTGGCACTTAAGAAAACGTCACTTCTGGATACCTCAAAGCAAATGTCCCAAACTTCTGCTCTTGGAAAGGCAGGTCTTAGGCATGCATAAAATATTGCCTTCCTTGATGCTTGTGTTCACTGTGGGGTTTGTATGACAGTGAAGCCAATCATTTTTCTGGGAACATAGAGCAAGTTCTTATGTAAGGTGAAATGAAATGGTGTCTGGAAGATGGGTGGGGAGAGGAACTGCTCTCCTCCTGGAGAGTTCAATGCTTCCCTTGCTCAGCAGTGTATGTAAACTGGGTTATGCCCGTAGACTATACTAAAAATAATGCATCGAGACCACAGCATGACAATTTGTGGTCTTGGCTCAGAGGGTATCTCACTATTTATACTGGCAGTCTCATCTGGTGCGACCTGGCCAGGTGTCTGGACTTCCTGCAGTGTTAACCTGGTGGTTATGGCCCAGAGTTAAATGCTTACTGAATGCACACAAAAACTAGGTACAAGGATACTGTCTGCCTCTGAACTTAAAGGCTGTGTCTTGAATCCTCACATATTTTCTCACCAGTCCCATCTGTTTTGTCTTTGATCCAAACTCCTATATGCTCCTGTATCCGCTTTGCCATGACGACTTTGGAAAACACTTTGGCAGGCCTTCATTACTCTGTGCCTTCCTGTCATTATGGAAATCAACCATCTACCTACGGGGTGATGGCAGGTAAGAGACATACCCTCCACTGGGTGAGCTATTAGCATGTTGATTTTGGTCAGTTTTCCTTTAAAGGGACTAATTCAAGACAGTTGCTTAAAGAAGATAGGACTGGGGTTAAGGCACTAGAAAAGGGCTTAGGAAATTAGGGCTCAGTGCCCAGAGTTTCCCCAAACCTCTGCATCTCTCTGCAAATGACTCTGTATCTTATTTCTCTCTACAAGACTGGGACACTGCTGCTCTTTTTGCTCGCCTATGTCCACTTCCCCTGGAGATCATCGTTTTTTGAGGGACCAGGAGTGATGTACCCGATATACCTGTGTATTACCAGTACCTGGGATGATGGAGCCCTGACTGGAGCTATAAAATAAAATGGTGGCGTAATGGAAGGATAGCTGAATTCAGCAGGCCGATCATACAGATGACTGTGGATTTTTACACTAGTGAATGTATGCTAGGAGCGTATGCTAGTATCCTGCCCAGTTTTCCATGTCCCAGGCTGAGTAAGAAAGAGGAACTGTTATTCTATGCAAGTTCAAGTAGCAGTCAATGAGATAATGTGATAAACCAAATTAACACAACTCCTGGGAAATAATCGTGACTCAGAGCCAATCCAAAATCAAACTCAGCATTTTATTTCACTTAAGATGAAGGAAATATTACAGTAAGTCAGCATAGATGAATACATCTGCATAGGGACTTTTTACAGATGGTGAGTAGATTTCCTTTACTGTGTGCAAATACTCCTATTCCATTGTCCACTAATGCACTGTGTGCAAATATCCAAATACTCCTATTCCATTGTCCACTAATGTAGCTGTTGCAAACATTCCTGGCATTGTTCAGATCCCCGGGAAAAGTTCATAGGTATTAAACAAAAAGTATTGCTCAGAAGTTCATTTTGTTTCATTCCAAAATAAATACACCTTCACTTTTCTCCTTTCTTTTTTTACCCTTACTTTTTTTTAGGTATCAAGCCTGCAACTCCAGAGATGCTGTCAGCAAGCCTCTCCCAGAGTCGCATCTTACAGACATGCAGCATGCCGCATCCCAACGTGGTAAACGGTGTCAGCACCTTGCAAAGCAAGTCCTTCTCCTTTTTTTTTTTTTTTTTTTTTTTGTCTTTTCCTTTATTTTTTGGGAAAGTCTTCTTTTGTTGTTATCCTGTGTGAAGCGTATAAAGCATTCCTATGGCGTTAGAACCTCTAACGCTGGTGAGAGCAATCTGGGCAGTGAAGATCGGGAAAGTAAACGGAGGAAGGGGTGGGAGGTTAATGAAGTTCTGAGTTCTCCTACAAAGTTTTGTGTAATTTAGAAAATTGGGAAGGATGCCCTGAGAACCTGGAATTTACTGGCTGCTCCAGATACACTGAAGAGTGTTAATATTTCTCCAATTTTTTTTTTTTTATTTCCCCCTTCAGGTCAGAGACTCTTTAGCTCTATGCACAATATCTAGTGAAATTCTAAGTCTTCACTCTTAACTGAATCTGCTTGTGAAGTCTGATATTTGTGAACAAAAGGTAGCATGAGATAGTTTTGTTTTGTCCTTGAGCAATTTCTTTTTAAGCCAGAACAATTGTTCTGAATTTGTTATGGGTTTTGTTTTGTTTTTTTTTCTTTGAGCTCTTATCTGTGTACTTTCCTCAAACAAATTTTACGCTGAAGCTAAACCAAGATAGTATCTTGTCTGAGCATCAAATGGTATTTACATGGAAATATTCTTTGTACCAGAAAATAGAGACTGGCACATTTTAGGTGGCTCAAAATGACATAGATCCATCAATCTTGTTGTGCCACTTAATTCCAGCTGAGGCCTTGGATTGTTATTTCTTTCAGTTTGGACCATTTACCATTTTATTTAAGTGCATCAGAATTTGCTAAGAAATAGGATGGCTGTGGCCTGTTGGTCGGGTTTCATGTATAAGAGAGAGACCGTATCTCTAGGAGATCTTCATGTATAAGAGAGACTGTATCTCTAGGAGATCCTCACTCTTGGATACTTTCGCATGTTATATAATAAATATTACAGACATGGATCATGAGATGATGAAGGCATGTTTTTATTGTGTAGCAGTAAAGAATAACTGTGTTAATATAATAACTGAGTTTTCTTTTTGGTGTTGCTCAGGTAGCCTGACCCCTTGCCTTTATAAATTCCCGGAGCATGCCCTAAGCGCCAGCTCCTGTGCCCTGGGCCATGGCTTCACGCCTATGCACCAGTCCCTCCTCACAGATGATCCCACCGCCGCAGACTTCAAGCAGGAGTTCCGCAGAAAAAACAAGTCTGTCGAAGAGCCCGTTGACATGGACTCCCCTGAAATCAGAGAACTGGAGAAATTTGCTAACGAATTTAAGCTGCGGAGAATTAAACTGGGTATGTGCTTTATGTCTGCAAAAAAAAGGCTGAAAAATTCCAGTGAAAACCCAATTATTTCCTAATGTTTTATGGTCTAGCCTCTGCAGTTGTCTAATCATAACACTAATCCTGCCTTGCACTGCCAAACTTTCTCCATTCCTAGAAGACTTGCACAGAATTAATGAGCTTCAGCTTTTTGCAACTTAGTACGCAGAAAGTGACTTTAAACTTTCCTGCCCTTAAATTATTTGTCTTAAGTGCAGAGAAAATCATTGCTGTTCATTAAATTACATTCAGTAGCATGTGCATTATTTTGCACAGCCCCAAATTTTCTGTAACTTAGGGCAGCACGTGCTCTAACCTCTCATATCCATCCTCTTCCCCATGAAGTGCTTCACCTGATGGTGCAATGTCATTTAAGCATACAAGATGGGTGACATCCATGGTAAATCTTTCATAGCAGTAGGAAGCTTCTCTTCCTGGTTTATTTTCTTGTGCCAAGACACAGGTACAGCAGCAACTGGTATCTTTGTTGCTGTCTGATAACTACTGGGGCTGATGCGAGATGGATTGCATTAGAGGGTCTCCGGTGCCTGTCTTTCACTGGACAATCTTAGCTGGGGAAAAAGGTGGACTGAGCCCTGTCTTTCTCACCTGTAGGGGATAGAGGTACATTGCAAAGTAAAAGCCTGTCCCACCCTTGTTTGAACTGTACCGAAAAAAAAAACCATCCAGCGCCGCAGATTCAGCCCATTTATGAATATTGGGTACTCCGAATGAAGAGGTGCAATTTTGACATTATTGCTTATAACATCACATTGTATCATGACAAAATAGGGCATCCTTCTAGGTTTATAAATGTAAAAAAATTGCAAGGTTATTACAGGTATCTATGCATTATCTCAACAGCTAGAAAGTTAGTGTGTTCCATTTGCAGTGTAACAATAAGGACTGAAATAAAAATTTAGGGGTTAAAATAGTATTTGCAACTTGGTCAGTTTTGCTGTATATCGTGTATTTAATGTCAGCCACAGCAATGGAAAGGTTTGCTAGGCCCCACGCTGTTAATCCCTGTAACTGTTACTGCATCTTCATCTTGAATTTGTGAGGGAACAAAACTTCCTCTGATGCAAACGAATGACACAGAGCCTGTAAGACTGGGCTTAATGCTCTGATGGGAAAAATGCAATTTGCACAGGAAAACTAATCTGAGGTTGAGCTTTACAAGGGAAGACAGAGTTAATATGGGCTGTGGATCTGATTGCTGTATACGTGTATTTAATGTCAGCCACAGCAATGGAAAGGTTTGCTAGGCCCCACGCTGTTAATCCCTGTAACTGTTACTGCATCTTCATCTTGAATTTGTGAGGGAACAAAACTTCCTCTGATGCAAACGAATGACACAGAGCCTGTAAGACTGGGCTTAATGCTCTGATGGGAAAAATGCAATTTGCACAGGAAAACTAATCTGAGGTTGAGCTTTACAAGGGAAGACAGAGTTAATATGGGCTGTGGATCTGAGACTGAGACACAGATTTAGTGCAATCAAAACGCAGGTAAAAATCTGCCTCATGAGACATTCAGCATATAAAGAGATCCTGCCTGTCCTGGTGCTTAGGCAGAAGGGGAGGACGATGAGCCAGACCCCTGAACATGGCAGGTACGCATTCAGAGCACTGAACAGGGACCTGCTGTTACAAAGTCAGTGTCTGCGTGGAAACTGCACCATTTCTCTGATGGCTTCAACTTAGTTGTTGCAACAAATAGCAGGAGACCAGCGGTGCAGCCAGGGATTAGCTTATCGCCATTGCACCATCTATAGAAAGAAAGATATGGGTGTCTGGATCCTTCTCAAATCCCTAATCTTAGAGTGTAAAACTCCACTAAATTAGTGTAAAACTCCACTGAAACCAACAGGAGACTGAACAAGTCTCTGAGGTGAGCTCAGAGTCAGCCACAGAGTCCTCTGCAGAAAGCCCATCCTGAAGATACTGCAGGTACACACTGTTCATAAGAGTCAGCAGTGAAGGGCTAAGCGTCTCAAGGAAAGAAACCCTTTCTAGAAAGCTCCAAAGTGACTTCTCTTTGTTTTTGACAGGTTATACACAAACCAATGTTGGAGAAGCACTGGCTGCTGTGCACGGCTCTGAATTCAGCCAAACTACTATTTGCCGGTTTGAAAACTTGCAGCTGAGTTTCAAGAACGCATGCAAACTGAAATCGATACTGTCCAAATGGCTGGAGGAAGCAGAACAAGTAGGAGGTAAAGAACTGAAATCCTCTAAATATTGATTTGCATTTAAACCAGAATCCTATGTATATGTCAAAGGACCAGTAGGTGTCTTCCATAGACTAAAGTTTTTTGGTTTAGCAGCTTTAAATACTAAGGTGTGCTTATATTAAATTTTAGTTATCTTTTTCGGGTGAGCAAAAAGGGGCAAACTGAAATGCATGGAGGGTACAGAATAGCAGAAACATCACTTGGCCTACTGAAAGTAGTTTCTTTCAATCCCATCCCAGCAATCTAGCTCCACTCCTGTAGCACAGGTCAGAGCTGTTATTAGGATCTGCAGGACAGCCCATTTAGCAGCGTACGGGGATTCTTCACTAGCAAAGGACTCTTCCTTCCAGCCTCTGGCATATGAGATGTGGCCATGGGGGAAAAGATTTGAGTTCAGCTGAGGCAGTGGTCTTTAAACCCTGAAGAAGAATAGCATGGCATAGAGGTTTTTGATGCAACCTTTTTGCTGCTAGAGGATTCCCTTCCTTTTGCTCAGTTACTTTCCAGTTGCAGGAAGAGTCATGGGGTTCACTGGGCAAAGTGTACTTTAGAACAGGTTGGTTGATTTACAGGAAATGCATTGCCTTAAAGAACAGCCTTTTCAGCTGGATGAATTGTGATGCTGGGAAGCAGTGTGACTGGAGGTGACAGCGAAAGCCAGGACCACCACTGTACAGCACTCGCCTAGCATGGGAAGAAAGAGAAGATGATCTTAATGCTACTTTTTGGATTTGCCATTGTATTCAACAGTAGGAAACGTTATTAAACAGCTGCTTCTGCCACACACTTCAGTTTCCTTTGAACCAAATGTAGAAAGCTTCCTTCCCCTGTAACTGCACTAGAAACCAGAGGCTCTCCTAATGTGGCCGGCACATTGCAAGAATCGCTTGTGAGGGGGTTGTGGTGGGTAGCAGCCACTGACCGCCTGAGCAGCGTTACAGGCTTGAGCTGCAGGGTGAGATCACGCGTGCAGACAGTGGCCTCTGAGAAGCAAGGGGGGACTTGTCCATCAGAAAGTGGGGTGGAGGAGGCAGGTGAATAAATGGGGTTGGGGGCCAAGACTGTGTTTCTGAAGAAAGAGGGTGAGGTAGCTGAGGGGTATGGAAATGGACTCCGTCTCCCTAGACTATACCCCACAGGGTAGGAGGAAGAAGGTATGTCAAAGGAGGGGGCTGAAGTACGGCTCCGCAGGTACATAGGCACAGAGCCAGCGCTGTTTGCAGCTTTACTGGTGGCACACCATTTTTGCTTATAAGCACTTATAGCTGGAGGTAAAACAATGACCAACCGTCTTAAAGAAAGAAGTGCTCCTATGTGTGGTGCTGCTCTCATTCACTGGTGTTATGCTTTCTTCTGTCTTCAAAGAAAGGGACTTTTCTTCTGGAGATGATTGTGCTTGTTTTCCATTCTCTGTGGAAGGTGACTGCCAGGTTTTGTTTTGTTTTTGATACAGCTTTATACAATGAAAAAGTTGGAGTGAATGAGCGGAAGAGGAAGCGCAGAACCACTATAAGGTAATAAATATTTAGGGCATTACATGTTAGAAACCACTTTGGCTAAGATGCCTCTTGGATTCAAAATCAAAGTGTTATTTTCTATTAATGAATCTCTATAGCTAATGTTTCAAAATGTTTCACTATTTTGAAACATTCCAGTGAAAAATAACAGCATAACCCTCCAAAACCTCAGTTTGCTCCAAATATATTCCTTTTCCCAATTAAAGACTTTTTTTCAACATATGACAACATACTTTAACATGAAAAAATATTTTATTCCAATTCTGCCCAAATGTTATGATATTGATATAGTGAATAAGGTATCAGAGCACCCTTGTTTTCATTTTGGGAGGTTCTACATTATACCAAAATAAATTGCATTATTTTGCCAGAGAGTTGAGGTCTGGGAAGTTTGAGGGCAAGCTTTATACATATAATATTGCATCCCTGTCCCTATCGTCTGTCACTGGATTCTTTGAGTTCTCAAAGAAACACTTTAAGGAGCTAAAGGTAAAAAAAGGGATTTGTTCTGGGAACCTCCTTCTCCTGTTTCTCACATCTCTGGTGGCCAACATCTACCATCTATCTAGTCTCGACTCCATATGGAAATCAAATAGGCTGGTAAATCATATTACAAAAACAATTACCAAATAGGCAAAATGAGAACATGGGGTATTTCCTTCTCCTTTAGATATCCCAGACTCTTATAACCTTTGGTGAATAAGAATTCACTCAGGGGGCCTCCAATGAGCTGTAGTATTCTTCCACAGGAAGGGAATTTGGCTGCCTCTGGGCATAACTCTGGTGCTGTCGGGCCCTACCCGTTACAGTGAAGTGCCTGTTCTTTGAACAGGGATCATTCCCGATGTGCAGTGCCACCTCCCAGAGATGTAGGCTGCTCTATTTTCCCAAAGCCACATGTACCTTCTCCTCTCACATTCAACTTGAGACTTGTTTTTTGAGTCATAGAACAGTTTGGGTTGGAAGGGACCTTTAAAGGTCATCTAGTCCAACCCCCCTGCCGTGGGCAGGGACATCTTCAACTAGAGCAGGTTGCTCAGAGCCCCGTCCAGCCTGACCTTGAATGTTTCCAGGGATGGGGCATCCACCACCTCTCTGGGCAACCTGTTCCAGTGTTTCACCACCCTCAGCGTAAAAAATGTCTTCCTTGTATCTAGTCTGAATCTACCCTCTTTAGTTTAAAATCATTCCCCTTTGTCCTGTCGCAACAGGCCCGGCTAAAAAGTTTGTCCTCATCTTTCTTACAAGCCCCCTTTAAGTACTGATAGGCTGCAAGAAGGTCTCCCCAAAGCCTTCTCCTCTCCAGGCTGAACAACCCCAACTCTCCCAGCCTTTCTTCATAGGAGAGGTGTTCCATCCCCCTGATCATTTTCGTGGCCCTCTTCTGGACCCGCTCCAACAGGTCCATGTCTTTCTTGTGCTGAGGGCTCCAGAGCTGGACGCAGTCCTCCAGGTGGGGTCTCACCAGAGCAGAGCAGAGGGGCAGAATCACCTCCCTCCACCTGCTGGCCACGCTTCTTTGGATGCAGCCCAGGGTACGGTTGGCCTTCTGGGCTGCGAGCGCACATTGCTGGCTCATGTCCAGCTTTTCATCCACCAGTACCCCCAAGTCCTCTTTGGCAGGGCTGCTCTCAATCCCTTCATCCCCCAGCCTGTATTGATACCAGGGGCTGCCCTGACCCAGGTGCAGGACCCTGCACTTGGCCTTGTTAAACCTCATGAGGTTCACATGGGCCCACTTCTCCAGCTTGTGCAGGTCCCTCTGGATGGCATCCTGTCCCTCAGGCATGTCAGCCGCACCACTCAGCTTGGTGTCACCTGCAAACTTGCTGAGGGTGCACTCGATCCCACTGTCTATGTCGCGGATGAAGATCTTTAAAAGTACTGGTCCCAATACCGATCCCTGCGGGACGCCACTCATCACCAATCTCCAGCTGGACATTGAGCCATTGGCCACTACCCTCTGGATGCGACCATCCAACCAATTCCTCATCCACTGGACAGTCCACCCATCAAATCCATACCTCTCCAGTTTAGAGAGAAGGATGTTGTGGGGGACCGTGTCAAAGGCCTGACAGAGGTCCAGATAGACGACATCCATAGCTCTTCCTATGTCCACTGATGCAGTCCATCATAGACCATCATAGAAGGCCACTAGGTTGGTCAGGCAGGACTTGCCCTTCCTGAAGCCATGCTGGCTGTCTCGAATCACCTCCTTGTCCTCCATTGCCTTAGCATAGCTTCCAGGAGGATCTGTTCCATGATCTTCCCAGGCACAGAGGTGAGGCTGACAGCTTGGTAGCTCCCAGGGTCCTCCTTTCTACCCTTTTTAAAAATAAGCGTGATGTTTCCCTTTTTCCAGTCACCAGGGACTTTACCTGACTGCCATGACTTTTCAAATATCATGGATAGTGGCTTGGCAACTACATTAGCCAGTTCCCTTAGGACTCTGGGATGCATCTCGTCAGTCATATTGGCTTTGATATAACGAATAAAATGAAGATGTGATTTCTCTCTGACTTTTGAATTAAGTATTCCTCTGAGGGGATGCTTCTCAGGAGTGAATTTGGGATGGGAGATGCTTCATAGCTCATTTGCTTATCACAGCACCTCACAAGGGATAAAGCTTTCCTCTTGGGAGGCCAGTTTCTCATCCCAGCTTCTCTACAAGTCAGTAAGGACTTGAGCGGCAGTGCCAAGACCTTGCCTGGTTTATGCAGTATGGCCTGCATGAGAGCTGTGAGTTGAGAGCATCTCTGTCCTAGGTGTTTTCCCCTGGCTAGAGGAACCCACTGAAGACTGTTCATCTAACGTTGTGGGTCTTGGTGTTGTTTTTTAACAGCTATTGAGAAAATCAGTCCTCATATTAAGCATTTTTTAGTTCCTGCTTTTACATCTAACCCCACTGCACTAGGAGTATCAAATATGACAGGTTGTCAAGGGCACAGAAAATTGAGGGGAAGTTCAGGACCAAATCCCATACAGTAAGAAAATATTAATTGTTCCTTCGAAGGCATATAGGACCTCAGTTTGAAGACCTAAAACTAATCAGGGAGATGGACTTTATCTGAACTGCAGCCTTACTCTTAGCAATTCTTAATGGATGTTTGAAGGCAAACTAGAGGTAAAACAGAAGTCCCACAAACTAAATTAAGTTAGTCATACCCTGAGCAAAAACTACTTAATTTGAATTTGTGGAAGCTATTTTATTTTATACTTGGATCAAAGCCTAAGAACCTGTTAGTCAAAAATAATGATGTTTCTATACTTCTGTGTGTGCAGAAACACCATGCTATTAATTAGGTGGTTTTGGTAACATTAGTAAATATTGCAAAATTGACCTGTAAATGAAAGACCAACAACATATTACAGATAAAGTAATGAAATAACTAGAACTCCAGCAGATACTTTGTATAGTTCTATAACAGAAATACCTGCACCTCATTTCCAGAATAATGCATAAAGTGCCCTCTCGTGTCCAAAGAAATTACAGCTACTGCTGAAGCTAGTTCTGGATGCGTCCTGGTGATACGCAAGAATGTCGCAGATACTCCGTGTTTTCTGAGAATATGTAACACAAACGGGAAGCAAATTCTATCTGACAATAAGAAAAGACAATAGTCTTAACTTATTTTGTTTATTGAACCACTCAACTTTGGTCACTGCTGACTCTGAGGAATAGATTAAGGCAGACTTTTAGAAAATGTGATGATTGCTAAAACAGCTTGCTGTAATCTCTGTGATTTCTAGAAGTACTCTAGTGCCCTCTCTATAACAAAATGAGATGCAGAACATCTCATACAACATACGACATTTCCCAAATTGTAAGTGATGGAGCTCTTCCCCTTTGTAAACCCGAATGATTTGATACAACCGGGTAACCCCAGTAACGTGCATTTGCTGCATCCTTACGACACTGCTGTGACTGGGGCAGAATAGGTGGTCAGGCTTGTTCCAATTCCTGTGATCCCATCCATGTCTAGCTAGTAGCTGTATCTCCTAGAGAACATCAAGAAGCATAAATATTTCATGATGACCATTGAAATTGCACCAAACTTGATGTCAGTTTGCCTTTAAATTACTCTGTGCTGATATTCTGCATGATGTGATGCTGTTCATGTCGGCAAAGAACTACAGTGTACTTTAAGCCCTGTGGGTTTCCTTTACGTAGAAAAAGAAGAAAACAAACCAAGTGACTACTTTCAGTGCCCTTACTTGACCCTTCTCCTGAACTAGTGGTGAAAGCCCGAATGTGTCAGAAAAGTTTTTAAAGGTGAAATTTTATCCCTTTATCCAGTATCGCTGCCAAAGAAGCCCTAGAGAGGCACTTTGGAGAACAAAGTAAGCCTTCTTCTCAGGAAATTATGAGGATGGCTGAGGGGCTCAATCTTGAGAAAGAAGTTGTGAGAGTTTGGTTTTGCAACAGAAGACAAAGGGAAAAAAGAGTGAAGACGAGTTTACATCAGAACGCCTTTAGTTCAATTATCAAGGAGCACCATGAATGCCGGTAAAGCTTTTCCATGTATAGATGTGGATTTCTGTTTTGCTTTTTGTAAATATTGTAAATACTATGTTGTTTTAAAAAAAAAAAGAAAAAAAGAAAGAAAGAAAAATAAAAAAAGAAAAAAAG